GGGACTAGGTGACCTTCAAGGTCCCTTCCAACCCAAATCATTCTACGATTCTGTCATAGGAGGAAGTTGCTCCACATACACTGACGTATAAATGAGTATGGATGAGGAGAGTCTGAAAAAGCAAGGTGGAAACCAGTGCATTCCCTTTGCTTTATTGTGTACGGTTATATATCTTGTGCTGTAATTTTACCATTCTGAAAGCCCATTTCTATGAGATGTTTATTTCTCATTGATTTTTGTCTGAAATTATTCATCTAAATATTTTAAATGTTCATATTTTTCCTTAGGATAGGTAGCTGTTCTATTGATTCTGTTGTTTTCTTCCTATGATGCTTATCTATTAAGAAACTAGCCCAAGACTAATTTCATATGACACACTCTCCAAACTTTCTCACCAAGTATTAATATGTGTAGGGCTCTTTCCTGACCTCTCTGAAATAAATCTATATCCATTTTGCTGTAGCAGTCACCATGTTGCCTAGTGGATCATTGCTATTAAGGGTATAAATCTGGTGCCTTGGCAGTAAATTAAAGTATGGTTTGGCAACTATATTTAGGCTTTGATGTTATGAGTTGTCCTTTCCAAACAAGAGTTTCTGGGTGGTATTTTAAAGTTATGCTCTCTGCTGCTGTTTTCCTGGATATGATAACACTGCAACATGTCTGTTTTGTTAGAGTCTGTGCTGTATGAATCCTGCACATTTACCGGTCTCTTATTATGACTCTTTTTTTCCCAGAAGTGGAAATGACAACAAATGAGTTCACACTGCATGGACTCAAGTACCTCAAGGTACCTCGGAGCACAGCCAGAACCCAGAGGGGAGTGGACCAAGCCTGCAACAAGAGCCATCAGAGGGGAATAACTCACCCTTGCCCTCTCATACCTGACCCTTGTCCTTCTTGTTGGTTGGCTGCTGAGTGCCTGAAAATGTCACTTCCAACCTCAGGTGCGAAACTGTGTAACTTACTGTTTTGAAGAACTTTCCTGCATTTCTGCCAGGGGCAGGAAGCTGTCTCCCTCAGCCCCCGCGCTCCCCTGGCACATGCTGCCCACAGCCCTATGGCTGGTGGCTGCCCAAGGGTTTCAGTTCAGCTAAGAACACTGTGAGCACCCAGCTGTCAGAGGACAGCGGAGTACGACAGACTTGCTCATCTAGTCCCCAGTTAATAAACGTTGAAATAACTCCATATTTTTTCTACTTTAAGTCCTGCCGGTTTCAATTGTGTATCCTGTCTTCTGCACAGAGGTGAGACATCAATCTCCAAATAAGTCTGCACATATTTCGGTACATCTAATATGTACCAACAAAGGGATGCACACATTCTTTCACTGAGGTGAGGCAGCAGCGTCTCAGGTAGAGGAGACTGAGGTTGCCATATTGTGTACAGGCCCAGTGCAGGATCTCAAACCCCAGCAGTAAAGAATAACAGACATTTTGCTTCAGGAGTGGACATTCAACGTAAACTGCTTTGCTTAGCAGCTGCAACCATGAATCTCAAACCACATACAGACAGAAGGGAGATAAGGTATCCACAAGAAACCTCCCAGGAGTCAAGATAACGACATTTTCCTAAATAAATAAAAAAATAAATAAATCTTCTTTTTCAACCCAAATCTTCAGATTTAGCTTTAAAAGAGCTCTATCAGATAAATTCAGCATTTCACAGCTGAATCATAGAATCATAGAATAGCTAGGGTTGGAAAGGACCTTAAGAACATCTAGTTCCAATCCCCCTGCAATGAGCAGGGGCACCTCCCACTGAACCACTAAACAATGTCACCCAAAGCTTTGTTCAACCTGGCCTTGGACACCATTTGTCATAGAAATCTACAAAGAAAAGAATCAGTTTAGAAACATGGAAGTAAAGAACCCTCCATCCTCTAGTCAGTTAAAATGTTCAAAATAGTCAGTTCAGGGATTCAGTAATACTGGACATATTTTTTGACCTGTGAGATGTACAGGCAGCCTCAGCTTAGCAGCATATTGGTGATCTGTGTTCATATTGACAAAAAGCACAAAGAAATATTCTTTTCAAAGAAAAGATGCTCTCTCCCTTTCTGGGCAAAATTTGAGCTCACTTCTTGTGTAATGGTGTCTTGTGGGTTTAATTTTCACATGCTATTCTCAAATGTAGGTACACTTACAGCTGTAGAAATGGGAGAAAAAAAACAAAAGTCAATGCAAAATATAGCACACTTCCAAAGACCAAATCATGCCAGAATGTAGCAACTGGAATCTTCAAGGAACCCTGGGGAAGTTCTTTTCCCCATTTCTGCTGCCGCTCATAATGAACAACTTGGTTTTCCTCTACAAAATTCATTCCTTACTCTGCCAAAAGACTGCTGGCAAACATTTTTTCACATGAAACAAAGAGTCTGCAATTAAACACTTGTAGATAGCAGAACTCAGTGAGTTATGAATGCTCTGGAACATATAAACAATCCTACAAGAATCGCTTCCATAATGTGAGTCAACAAAGTGAACAAGTTCTAAGCATAATTTAATAAATTTTAATTTAATAAAGCTACACTTCTCTCTCATTAAAATGGTATTATGAGAATACTGCACTTCCACAATATTTTTAAAAGGTGGGCAATCAGCAAGAAAAGGCCATTTTTCATGTTTTCCTCAAGATATCGAGGTTAATGTACCTCTAAGCACAGCTCAGGCTAAAGAGAAAGTGTGAAACCTGTAGAAAAAACCTGTTAATTCTTCTGGAAGCAGGATCGAAATATTTTTCCTTTTTTCTCCCCAAATAATAGCATCCCACATTTTTGTGTATCCTGAGAGACCATTCAATTCCCACTCTTTAGTTCTCTGAGTGCTGAGACAACCTGTATTAGTAGTTCTATGGTCAGGTGGACCAGCTGCTAACTTTTTTGTCATGATTTGTCTTGTGTATCACAGAAGCTTTACAGCAGCAGATGAAAGACTCAAGGAACTTTTACATTGTTTGGCTGAGAAGTGGAGTGAAGCATTTGTGGGTTCTGTGCCATGATAATACAGCTAGGTTGCTTTTTGGATCCAATACTGTCTTTAAATTGTGAAGATCTACCAGCACTGGACCAGTCAGGGTATTCATCTTGGCCAGTCCTTAGCATATTCAGCAATATGTCCCATTGCACAAGTGCAAGTCTCCTCAACTGATTCTTGTTTCTGAGCAGTCATCCATCAGCTCAAGTTCTGATGAGATGCTGACTGTAGTCTGCAGGTGTAAATGTAAGCATAATTCTCCTGCCTCTCCCTAGAAAAGCAGCATGACTCCAGCCTAAGAATACACACCAGCTCATGTGGGAGCAAGCTTAAAAAAAGGCTGGGAAACATTGAATATTTGGGTTTGATTTATAAAAAAAATATTTTGACATTTCTAAACTGATTTTTTTCTAAGCATACTGGTCTCTGAAAATGCCAACTTGGGATGAAAATAGTTTTGAAAATATCAGCCTTTTTCCCTAGGAAGGAAATTTCATCTGTCAAGTAGCTGTAACATCCAAAACTAGTCAAGGGCCGAAATAAGTAGGAAACACATGCCCTAAATACGTACCTCTCTGTTTATTGCTGAACCCAAGGAATTTAGCTCAAATGGGAACCATTTGGATTGGGCTGCTTGCCTCTTTTTTTAATGGCCTAATTTTGCAGCAGTAGCCATGACTATCATAACAACCAAAACAAAGAAAAATATGGAGTTGGACTGAGAATTAGTACATTCTCTCTGCTCATGAGGGAGAAATCCAACCCAAACCTTCACTCCCAAACACACATTGCTGAATTTTCAGGACGTTTGACTGGGGATTCATAGCTTCTAACTCAAGTTCATCTCTGCTACCAATTGTTATCAGATATCGCTATGACAATCACCCTGCAGGCTTCTATGTTTATCTAGCAGGTTTGTGCTCTACACCACCTTGGAGTTACAAAGTAGAGAAAAAGTGTCTTTAAGCCAAATTCTTTGTCCTCATAATTTTGGCAGCATCAGGGGATTCTGAATTAGCTTTTGTAGTTAAGCACATGCTTAGCTACATGCTGCTCTGATTTTTGACTTTCCTTCACTAGGAGTGATCACTGTCAGTTTCAGTAGGAAACCTGCTTTGTTCTTTTAACCCCGTGGTAGCAGGCTCCACTGAGTGTCTGCCTCCCTCCTATTCCTAAAGCCAGGGCCTGTACAATGCCTGCCCTGCATGGGTTTCACTGTCAGCCGCTCTGTTCAGTAGTTGCAGCAGAGGACTTTTCCCCCCAGCTATATACAGATATTTACATTCCTTGTTTAATAATGTACTGAATAGAAGCCAGAAGAATTAAAGTGTGTGACTCACCATCCAGCCTGATCTTTTCTTAAGGTAAGGAAACTTTTTCTGCCTCTCAAATAAAAAGAGAGGGAATATGAAAGAACAACAAACAGAACAGCATAGGCATGACACAACCATGTATGGGTCTGTGAAAGTAAAGGTGCTAATATTATATTGTCTTCTTTCCAAAGGGTCAGGGTTTGATCATGTTCACATACAAATTTAAAAATTTCTCAACATTTCAGCTGAGGGTGATAGGTAATAGACCTTCTGCTTGGGAAGGAGCCTGCTCTTTCTCCTCCCTTCCACTACTTCAAGGTCTTTTGCAAAGTAGTTTTGTAGTTATCTCTGTTCCTGTTAGATGAATCATTTAACTTCCACCTGTTGGGCTTCTGCTTTCTTTTCTTACTTGAAATAATAAATATCTTTGAATAAGGGTTTCTTGGTTTACAGTAGGGTTAACATTTGCACTGGGGAAATACTTTAAGCAGAAGATTATTGCTAACAATCCTTATTTTCTGAAAGAAAAGTAAGCTGTTTCTTGGCAGCACCATCTGTGAGAAACGGGATCCTCCCAAACATTTGGGAAAAATCCCTACTGCCAGCTCCTACACATCACATTATTTTTCCCCCCTGTAATGTGTCTTTTCTTAAACTAATAACTAATGTAGAAACCAACAGAGTCAACTGCAAACCTTACTCATGTACTCACCATCCTGGATGTGAGTGCCACAGCAGTACTGATGTGCCAGGAACACTTGCCTTGCTGAGATCCCCTAGTATGGCACGGCTGTCCAGGTATCACACACATATATAATAGCATGGCAGAGCTAGCCCATTCCTACCTGTGGAAAGCTGTAAGAAGACAGTTTATCACATGTGGAAAGACTGATGCTTTAGATGGAAATCTCAGTGAGGTTTGAGACTGTTCAGAATTCAGAGTAAAATGCAGGGTGATATTAGCTGTATCCCTAGCATCAGCGCCTTGAGCCTGTAGTACACAATAGAGCTCAATGGGCTGAGATCTTTAGAGTAAAGGCTGCTATACTGTGTTTCTGTCCATACTGTCTGATACTCTTTTGTTCTACTCTGTTCATGGGTTATTTCTTTATTTTCAGGAACAAAGGGAAGGAACTGGTGAGTTTCTGAAGCTTGAAACAGGTCAACTATGCGAGAGGGAGACAAATGATGGACAAAACTGTAGCACAGCCTGTTCCCTCTCATCTCTATCCCTTCCGACTTAAAAACTGCTCAAAAACCCAGAAGAGGAACTGCAAGTGCTTGAGGTGCCAGGGAGTGAAAAGACTGATTTTTCATTGAATTCATTTTCTATCCAGAATTTGAAGGAAAAAGTGGAAATTAAGTATTTGGAAGAAAGGCAATTTCTTTTCAGCTCCCCTAAGAAATAGGGAGAAATGGAGCTTGAACTTTGTGCTTGGAAGTGCCTCTTCTGTAAGGGATCAGAGAAAATTTTAAGGGACATATTGGAGCTGTGATGGATGACTTGTGGTTGTGACTTTTCAGCAGAGAGAAGGAAAGGATGTTTTTAATTTCAGGTTCATGGAAAAATCTCATAAAAGAAGGAAAAGAATGGTAAACATGAACATGAAATGATTCAGGGGATTTAAAATGCAATGCAAAGCCTAAAAATGTGACCACTGACAACAAGGCAGACAAGCTATAAATGTAAGCAGTCATGAGAAGCTGGTCTGATATAAATGGCTTTAGGAATCTGAGGGGGAAAAATACATTACATTTGAGGTATTGAACCCAAGTCCTAAATAAATGCTTGAGAGACTCACTGCAATATGTATTTCTGCTACTATTTTCATAAATTTCCTTTCCAGAAGAGTCTGTTCTGGACAGCATGTCTGACGTCCAGCATAACTCACACAGTACAGTTTCAGCCAGTCTTTTCTGCATTAAACCAGAAACCCGTAGTTGAGTTAGATGTGGCCAGTTGTGTTTGCTGTTAAAAATCCCAAGCTGAACCTTGTTTCAACTGCCAGCCACTGGGCCTTCATATGCCTTTGACTACTAGATTCAAGAGCTTTTTAGTTGTAATTATTTACCTTTCTTTTTGATGTATTATCCCTGGCTCTCCCCATTCCATCCACATAATGTAAATGTTAGTGCAGAGTAGAAAGTGGGAGAAGAAACCTCCTCTATTCACAAAGATGTTGTCCACTGTTTGGCACTCTGAAATATCTGGTTCAACAAATAAAGTAAGCTGCAGAAGATAACGGTTTGAGGAATAGAACTGTAGTGCATGAAAATGATTTTATTTTTTCCCCGCTTAAATATGACCCCCATGAGAAGTAGTGATGTTTCTGGAACAAGAAAGACCATAGCTGATCATGTTTATTTAAAATCAATTACTTCATCAATAACAATAGCTATTAAAAATCAGTGAGAGGGTTTTATTTCTTTGACTATCCTATGTCTCTATCTACCTGCATAGCATTAAAAAAGAACATTTAAAGATAAGTGAGAGAAAGGAAAAATTGTCCAGTATTTTGTGTTCAGACTTGTTTAAAAATTTAGTGGTAACTCTGTATTCAGCATGGGTTTGGAGTCAAATTTATTTTATACAGCCCATAAATTACCATATAATATGTCAAATTGCAGCACAGACTGATTTAAGTCATGCTTATTTGAAATAATTTTTGTGGGGTTTTTTTTTTTTGGTGCAAGTTTCTTGGGTCTATCTTTCCAAACTGAATATAAGTTTTCATATGACCTATTTTCATTTTTTTTTAATGAAACTTTGGGATTAAATCTACTTAAAAGATACAATTCTAGTTTCAACCACACATATCAAAGTTTTGCTATAGTTCTCCTGTCTGTATTATAATCCTTGAGAAAGAAGTATGCATCTTTTTTTTTCTTCTTTTTTTTTTTCCAGAATCCTTCTAGGAAAACAGCTCACATCAGACAGGAGTATTTTCACCTTACTCTGTAAAATAACTAGTATTTGTATGAAATAATAATTATGAGCTTTTAAACTCATGTTAAAATGGCTCAGCCAGTGCACACACTGCAGCCTGGACAGATGCCTAATAACATTCAGCCATGTTTCCTGACAAAACCGTACACAGCAACAGATAAGTCTGAAAAAAGTACAGCAATGAATTCCTGCAGATGGATAGAGTTAAAAATTAAAAATAGGACCTTCAGAAAAAGAAGCAATATCAGGTGTGTGTAAGGTTTGGTTGGGTTTGGGTTTTTTTTGTCATCTTCAGTACTGATAGCAAGCGTTATCTGCACCTGCAGATGAGATTCTGTGAAATTATTCACACTCTTTATGGGGAGGTATCTTTGAAGTTTCTTCTCATCACTGAAGAGGATTTCCGCTCTATGGATTTCATTATTGGAAGGTGCCTCCTGCAGGAACTTTTCATTATTCACTCCTCAGTATGCCCTGCAAGATCTTCCTATCAGCATGTTACCTATTGTCAGCTTTCCTATAGAATTCAATGGGGGATGGGGATAAAGCCATCCACTGCCCATGCTCTGTACCGGTAACGTCATATTGTACTGTGGGCAAATTGCTTTTATGGAGGATATAGGATAACAGAACTAAATTGGATGAATATGGTGGTAAAACATTTTATTAATTTAAAATGTCTCTTGTGTCATCTTCTTCCAGGACTGTTTTAAGTTTTCAGATTGCTAGAGTGCCTTGACCTATAAACTCATTGCTTGTCTTCATTAATGCTTTGACAGAGTTGCTATAGAAAAAGACATACACAAAAATCACAGTAACTGCTTTTTCATGGCCAGTTTATTGACCCTTTATTGTGGCCAAAAATAGAGATGAATATTATGTTTGTTTATGGTGTTAACTGCTTGCCTGCTGTTCATTGATTCTGCTATTTAGTCACTTTTTAGACCACAAGAAAATAAGAGCAGAAGAAAACTATTTAGGCATTGCAGCTTTATATAGCTGCACTTCCATTGCCATAAGAACCATATTGGAGTTCCTTAAACAATATATGTCAGTGAAAAAAAAATTACAACTTTTGAGACTGTCATTTTTGCATACTTTACATCACCAGCTATCACAGTTTCAATGAACTCACCCAGGCTCCTTCTCTGACTGTATGGGCAAGCTCAACATGAGGGAATTCCAAACATAATTGTCTCTTTTGGGGCCCTCTGCAAAGGGATCGTTACAAGCAGCAGGTCTTTTGCTTTCTTCCTCATACGGTGTATGCTGTAAATAAACTGTATTAAAAGCTTACCAAGATTTCCTTCTTTCTGACTCCTCTCACAAGGTCCCGAACACATGGTAGAGCTCAGCAGAGCGGTAATGCTGATGTCAGAAGAAAGACATCAGTGTTTATAGTGAATTGCTCTTCCCTGCTGTTTAGCAAATCACTTACAAGCTGATCTTGATTTCTTCACATGGTTTTGACATTTTTCAGTATTTGCCTGGATAATTACCTGGGAGCATGTCTGATCTGCTGTTTGTCCTGATGGCTCAGTAGCCAACTTTTGTGTTGTACAGCTGGTCACCTAATTAATGGAAGATAACTTTTTTTCCAGCTGAAGAATATAACATATATTCCGGATAGGAATTTTGAAGGGAACAAGCAGGTGGAGTAAAATTTAAGGAACTTGTAGGATTAAGAAATATTTTGTGGTTTGTTGCAGTTTTATTATTCCTCACTAATCTCAGTATGGCATCATAAGTAAAAGCAAATTGTGCTGCTGCTTTTTGTTAATGAAAATATTAACAAATGTGAACAAGGAAGATCTTTCTTTTTTTAATTTTCACTTTCTCATCTCTAGCCAAAGCACTGTTCTTGCACTGTCACTCAGCATTTGCAACTGGATACTTCTGGAATGATCTTGTTAAGCGTAGAGGCATCATATAAAGTTTAAAAATATACAGTAAGAAAGAGGGTGGACTTCTGAGCAATCTGAAGAAATAATACTAGTTCCTTCTTGAAGAGATGTGGGCTTTTTGTCAGTTGTCTCTCAGCCCAGAAGCTTGTGGCACAGGCTGGTTTCGATCTTCAGTCACACCCCGGCATTTTCCAGTCAGAATCAGAATCGCATCAGCCACATTTCTTAGATTTGCTCTTGATTGTGTCTTGCCCCACACTACTTTTCATTAGGAAGGCATTGTCCTTGACCTGTTTGAGAAGTTAATGACTTTTCACTATTGTACTAAAAAATACTCACAAGTTCTTACAAATATTGATGCTACTTGCGCACTCTCTTGTTTGTCATGCAAACAGGAGAAAGACTCTTATCTCTTCCTTCCAGTCTGGCAAATCTGAACTGCTTTATTTTGCCATTGTATTTAGGATGCTGGTTATATGTTTGTATGTGTTCAGTTGGACTAAGAATTTTTCAGTTGCTGTTTTTTCTAAGAACTGTTATATTTTAATTCTCCTTCCTTTTCTGAGATTCTATCTTACAATTGAATTTCTGCTTTCATCTTGACTAGGTTAATTGTACAGTCTAGATTCATATAGTCTCAACATTCTGCTTGGAAACCAGCAGCTGAAATCCTGCTTGGACGCTACAGTCCACTGCCTACAGGGAATGTCCTCTGTTCTAGTAGTGCTTTGTCATCTATTTTACTTTTTATTGTGTGTTTGAGGGGGGAACTATCATATTGCTGTTGCCTTTGTGTTTTGTTTTGGTTTTTTTTACTTCTTATTCACAAAATCTATGTGAAAGATGGCAGATTTGGGGTTTTATTCCCGAAGAACATGCTGAAAGCTTATTTCTCCCTCTAACAATAAACTTTATCTTTTATTTTCCCTTGGAAATGGATTTGATCAATGTGATTCTGTATTCCAAACTGGAAGATGATGTGGATCCTT